AGCTCGGCTATCACTGATCGATTTGGTCCGAGTGTGCGCCGTGCATTACGCTCCTACGCAGAGGGGTGGAAAGGGGGTGGGGCGAGGGCGGGGGCGGGGGAGGGCGCGGGGGCGGGGCCCCCCCCCCCCCCCAGCAAAACACCCGCCACACCCCCGACAAAGCGGGGCCCGCGCCGGGCGCGCGCGGCGGCGACCAGTTCACAGACCAAGGGTTCGGTGGAAAGGTGTATAAATATTGATTTAGTGCGCTTTATCCATGCAAGCAGAATGTTATGTTCTAGGGTTAGAGGACAATACGCAAGAATCTGCTTGAGACGTATTATTTAGTCATCTGCCTACTTACGATTCATGCTAAATTGATATTTATTTATTATTGCTATATTGCTAATCAATTTATTATTTTGTAGTCCTCCTTACATCCGGGTCTTCTGCAGCTTTCCGTCCATTTTCCGTCCGTTCCATCAAACTTAGCAATGACACTTTTGTACTGTTTGATGCCTAGCGAGCCTACTTTTGCGATACTCCCCACGTCCCCCGCGGCCAAGTACGAACCCATTGGATTTCGCATGAAAAGAGGGCTGTTAAACGTAGCAGTTAAATCTGTAAAGAATACACTCATAATAATTTTCATTTTTTTGCTTCCATAGCTCCACTCCCACTATCAACTGAAATGTCAAAGCATTGCCCGGCTCTGAGTGACCCTTGAGATTACGACCCCCCTCCCCAGCGGCCAAGTACGACCCCCCTATGGGTTTCGCACAACGATGCTGTACCCTGCCGAAGAGTAGCGTCTGGTGTTTATCTTCCCCGTCACTATTTATTGAATGCGCATCTGGAGCACACTGACCTTGACTATTTTATTTTACTAATCAGTGATCACACTGTTTTGATAATTGTCCTTGATATAAACTGCATCTCACACATGGTTACTGAGGAACGAGTTCCTATTTCTGAATCCTAAGACAAAATTGTAGGCAACATGAGTGAGAAACGCAGTAGAGGGGGCCGCACGTGACTTCCATTCCATTTCAAGAGGCTCTTTCGTAGTATTCTTCAACACAGATCATTGAAGCCACCATAAAATCACAACTGCAATGAAGTGGCCACCCACCCGTACGCTGTCGTGACTATTTCGTCATGATCGGCGTGCGGTGTGGCGCAACATGTGCAGAGCTCTCTCGGTTATGGCCTCTTTGGATAAGGTGTTGGTTTGATACCCGAACGCGCTTACTAGGGAGGTCGTTCAGGACGTGGAGCGCTTTTTGAAAACGGTTTTTTGCATGATGTGGGGTCACGTGCATGGAGTACCAAACTGGTGTTCATTTTTCCTGAACGCCTCTGGGAATGCCAAAAATGGAGTGAAAAAGAAGTCCATGGAAACCGACTGTTTTTGAGCCTGAATGGGCTCTAAATCACTCGCAACTTCGGCCAGTTGCTGCCTATAGGGTCCTTATAAAGGTTGTACTGGTATCGATGAGAAAAGTAGTCGCCAATGGGGTCTTACTTGTGGCACGTAGTTAAGAGTCGACGGCTAGTTGGAATGGGCTCTTAAAGGCACGTTCCGCGATAAACTAAGGCTAGAACCTCATAAACGTGCATGATGATCAAGCAGGCAACAGTAGAGGATATGCTGCTTTTAAAAGTTGAAAAACAGCAAGCAGAACGCACGGCGCTCATGTTTTAGGCCCATTGGCGCCCGATAGGCCCATGCCGGCCTCCGGTGACCGTGTCGTTGTGACATTGCCATTGCGCTCTCTCGCCCGTCATTCTGGCCTCTCTCGTCTCTTATCAGTGTCTCGCCGCCTTTTGCAATCCACAATTGATCTTGACCACCTTACGCTCGTCCGGTGATCATGATCAATTGAAATAAAGAGGGTCTTATTGCGGGCGCTTTTTCGTGGTTCCTTCTCTTCAATAAGTCAACAATCACAGGGCAATTCTATTTTTGAACTGTATTACCTATGAAGTGTGGTCGCGGGAATTGCCTTTAAGCAATCGAAGTGGTAGCTGCGCCAACGATCGGATGGCCTAGTGGATAGCGTGGAGGATTCTCAAGCAGACGGTGGGGATGGGGGATGATGGTTCGACTCCCCTCGGCTTGCACGTTTTTGCATTTTTTATTTTTGTTGTCGCTTCCATATACGTCTGTTAATGAATTTTACTCGGATATCTGCCATTTATAGGCACATCCTAAATAGTTATACCCCGTAGTCGGTGCTATTCAGCAATTTCGATTTCACATACCATTAAGCAAGAACTTGTCTGAAAGTTGAGCTTTATATGTTATTCGGTGCCCTGATCACGACTATGGCATTTACTTTCAGCTCTAGTGCCATTTATCTCCAATTTGGAGCCACGTCTTTCTCCCACTGGAGTCGCTATGTACATTCGTTTGAGGGACTTGCAGGGCCATTCTGACGCCAGATTGGGTTGACGTCAAGAATAAGTGTCAGAATCGTGATCAGGACCATCGATTACCCCTATAGGCAAACTTTCGGCCAAAAAATTTTTTTGACTTTTTTGATAGACCGACCATTTGGTCGACAGTGATGACCGGAGACCCACAACTTTGGAGCTGCGATGACGTAGCGATGACGTGGTGGGCCGCCGGGCAGCCGCATCGCGGATTTGGTGCTCATAAGGTCCATTCATACTTGGCATGGGCATGGGTGGCCGCAGAACAAGTGAAAAACCATCCTGGACATGTCGACCCCCGCGACGGCTCGCTCAACGAAGATGTCGTCCTCCCCTACCAAGAGGAGAGACTCATCCGATTTCTTCATCAAATGCACCTGGAGGAATGATGACTATTTTGTTCTTTTTTCGATGGCGTTTATGGTTGTTGCTAGTTTTTTGTTTCCGTACCACTGAATGAGGGTTTCGATAACCAGCAAAAGTACGACTTCAACAAAGTGACTCTTGAGCATAACCCAATGCACAGACTCAAAAAAGTCAAAAAAATTTTTTGGCTGAAAGTTTGCCTATAGGGGTAATCGATGGTCCTGATCACGATTCTGACACTTATTCTTGACGTCAACCCAATCTGGCGTCAGAATGGCCCTGCAAGTCCCTCAAACGAATGTACATAGCGACTCCAGTGGGAGAAAGACGTGGCTCCAAATTGGAGATAAATGGCACTAGAGCTGAAAGTAAATGCCATAGTCGTGATCAGGGCACCGAATAACATATAAAGCTCAACTTTCAGACAAAGTTCTTGCTTAATGGTATGTGAAATCGAAATTGCTGAATAGCACCGACTACGGGGTATAACTATTTAGGATGTGCCTATAAATGGCAGATATCCGAGTAAAATTCATTAACAGACGTATATGGAAGCGACAACAACGGAAAATAAAAAATGCAAAAACGTGCAAGCCGAGGGGAGTCGAACCATCATCCCCATCCCCACCGTCTGCTTGAGAATCCTCCACGCTATCCACTAGGCCATTCGATCGTTCGCCCTGCTATCACTTCGATTGCTTAAGAGCCCATTCCAACTAGCCGTCGACTCTTAACTACGTGCCACAAGTAAGACCCCATTGGCGACTACTTTTCTCATCGATACCAGTACAACCTTTATAAGGACCCTATAGGCAGCAACTGGCCGAAGTTGTGATTTAGAGCCCATTCAGGCTCAAAAACAGTCGGTTTCCATGGACTTCTTTTTCACTCCATTTTTGGCATTCCCAGAGGCGTTCAGGAAAAATGAACACCAGTTTGGTACTCCATGCACGTGACCCCACATCATGCAAAAAACCGTTTTCAAAAAGCGCTCCACGTCCTGAACGACCTCCCTAGTTAGTTTCCACCACCAGCTACAGCTTTAATTATTTGCCCGCGTGCGCCGATTTAAAGACGGCTACATGTAGGTTGCGGCGCAACGCCACGTGCACCGCAGCAAGCGTCTCTATAAAACTAGAATATTTGGCTCAATCACTGTAATACATAACCACATACTTCGCGACTACCTTTAGTAAGCTAACGCCGCGCAGGAAAGGTATGTTCAACGTGGGTCTGCCGTCAAATAGAGAAAGTACTAGTTTTGAGCAGTTCGACAACAAAACGGTTAGAGACCTGTAATGAAGCACGCTAACATTAGTAATAAATATGAGCAAACGAAGTGCAAGGTAATTACAATAAAAGGCACAAAGAGTTATGAACAGCTTCCAAGTAATTCCGGGCTTTCATCGTTTACAATGATGAAAACATGAATTGCCGCACTTAATCAAATTTATTCGACGTCCAGAGTTACATAAAGAAAAAGAACATTCAACTTCGATCGGAAAACAACCACAAAGGCATTTGCCCGGCACAGCAGTAGACAAAGGGAGGGCCGGCCAATCCACAAGACGAATAATCGTTTTTGGCGCCCATGCCCCCACGTCGCTTTTCGCGCCATCTTTTTTTTCCGCCATGCTGCGTGCCGATCGCTGATCATAGACTTACAATACACAAGATCAAACTTCTTTTTTTTGAACACTTCACATAATTCATTTTTTTCCATTTACTCTGTTATCACACAAAGAGGAAGCGACTCCAATAAAAGGATACAACAGGAAACAAACATGTGAATATGTGCGTGAGTGGAACGGTAACGGCGCCCGGAGTCGGGCTCAAGAGATGATTCACGCTGAACTGCTCTTGAAGGGAGCAGGGCCTCGCTCTGAGATGAGGAACGGTGCCAGCTCTTAGGTCCATCGCCGGTCGACTCCTCGCCTGCCTCCTCCGCCGCCTCATCACGTCTCGTGAAAACATTCATCACCCTTAACCCGAAGCCGTCTTGAGGCGCGGCTTACACTTGTAAACCACGAGAACCGGATATGCCTCTGCTTATAGAAGAAAATGCAAAAGTAAAGAACGGGATCAAAAATAAGCACGAACAAAGAAGAAATCAACACCAACTAATTTCTTTTGAACACTTCACATGATTCATTTTTTTCAGTTAACCCTGCTATCACATGCCCCACCCCCCTCCCTCCAGGTAGATCTGTCCTCAGATCTTACATTTTCAGTTCGTCCAACTTCTTCGCGGTGGCCCTCTCTAGACTCCGCATCTTGCGCTTTTCCACGCGCTTTAAATGGAAATGCGGCCATCCTTTATCGTCCGGCCCACCAGACGACTGCGCGCTTCTTCCTTCCGACGGATTTCCTCTCGGCTTCATGCTTTTCGGAATCTTTACAGCGTCGAGCTTCACGTAATCCTTCCTTGTCTGAGAAACTCGAAAAACTGGACGCTTGCTCCACTGGCCACCACCTATCGGATTATGAACCACGCCAACCTTCAGACAAGCCATTGTAGAACTGAGAATTCCAGGTTCGGCAGGGACGAGGCAGTGTATCTGATTGAGAAACGATGGATACGTGTCCACATATCCATTGATATGACTCCTTGTCTTGGCGTTCAATCGGTCCCAACTGTTTTCTTCGACTGCTCTGGGTCCGTTGACGACGATTACATGAGCTCCACACGAGAGCCACAAATTGAGTGCGTTGACGAACTGCAACCAAGAGTATGGGTCAGCCGGTTCTCTCGGTGGCAAAACCAGAATCACATTTCCGACGTCGTCTGCGAAGATGGCCGTATTCGTAGCACGTTATCTTGGAGAGAGAAATTGCCATGTTTGGGCTCGTGTGACAAAACTTGATCCTGTGCAGGACTTCCGGTACGACGACGACGATACGCCCATGTTCTTTCCCATTCTGCACTACGACGCGATACGCCCATGTTCTTGCCCATTCTGCACTGACTGCGCAATAGTCTCCCATTCTAGCTTCTTCGCGATTCTCCACCCGTATTCGATGACTCTCGTTGCATCGCAAGGCCATCCCGGGAGCTGCGAATGACGTAACGGGGCTTCCTGCGGCACAGTCCCCGCCATAATCGAGACATGGAGACAGCGATGTCGAAAGAAAGCGTATGCGAATCCTATCGCTTTGGGAGTCAGCACCTTGTATGACTTGTCCATGATCCGCTGAATCTTTAGAGAAACGGATCCTGAATCCCACCATATCGCTAGGACTCGCGCGGCATCCAGCACGCATTCGATACGCTCATCACACGCCGGTTGCGGTACGACCGAAAGAAGCTGACCAACTCGAGTAGTACGACTACAACGACAAGAATCAAGAGGGAAGCTCCCTCGACCGCGGGGAACGGTTGGCCATCACAGCGAAATCCGACGTGAAGGAAATGCATGACATCGGCGACGTCGTACTCGTCCTTCGACCTGAAACAGATGTTCTTCTTTACTAGAACCTGTGCAGAGAAGATATCATTCTCACTCTTTCTACCCCTTTTTCTCTTAGAAACAACTTTCACTGGTTCATCACTAATCTCATCTGGGCATTTGAGCAACAAGTCAAATTGTACTCGGACTGGGTCTTCATTTTTGGACAAGTTCGTTATCAGTGCCGAGTTATCACTACACTCAATAACTCTAAACGGTCCACTCCAATCTATCGTCAACTTTGGGTGTCCTGCTAGTGCTTTCTCTCTCGGCATCTTCATAAAGACCCTATCTCCTAACTGGGGCTTATAATGCATATTGACACCTTTTTTATCATCATAGTACTCCTTCATTCTCTTACGATATTTTTCGTTATAGTCTCTCACTTCGTCATGTATGAGCTTTATTCCGCGCATCAACTCGGCTTTGTAGTCATCCAGGTCTATGCGGCTCAGCTTCACACGGTTTTCTGGCACCGAGTTAAGTGGTACCACCGGGTCAAATCCATGCAGCAGAAAAAATGGACTTTCCCCTGTTGCGGCGTGCGGCGTAACGTTGTAGGCATACACTGCGTTAGGTAACCATACATCCCAGTAGTCGGGGAACTCAATTTTTTTCTTCAGAATTCTCTGTAGTGTCCCTATTGCCCTCTCAGCTGTTCCATTTTCCCTTGAATTGTAACCTTTCGTTACTGTATGAACAATTCCCGACAGCTTCGAGAGTTCATCCACTACGCCATTTACGAACTCAGTCCCCTGGTCTGTATGCAGTTGTTTGGGCCACCGCCCTCCTTCGCAAATCCAACGTTGAAATATCACGTGAGCCACGGTTTCAGCACTTTTGTTCTTCATGGCATATGCTCCGAAGCCATTTAGAAAACTGGTCTACTAGCACAAGTACGTATTTCATGCCATTAGCGCTCACGCCCATTTCGAGCACGTCTGCGCACACACACTCAAACGGCTTGCTCGCTACGAACGGTTTGAGGGGTGGAGTATTTACTGTTTTAGGATTTGTCAGAAGGCACTTACGACATCCTCTCACCCACACTAGCTACATCTTTATCGAGAGTCTCCCAAAATACCTTTTTCTTCAGGACACGACACATCTTTTGCGCTGAAAAATGCCCTGCCAGGCATCCTTCGTGCGCCTCTTATATAAGATGACTGAGAATGATCTCCTTTTTCGTCTTTTGGTGCCGTACTGGCAGCCGATTTCAACGTGTATTCAAATTCTTGCCGTACATCGTCGACCGGATCCTTCCAATGTTGTCCGGCAGTTCGTTTACTGAGATTCCGTTTATTGTGCTGTATTCTACCACAATTTCGGCAACAGCGAGGTTGTGATCGGCCGAGTAAGGAGGGCTTTTAGGTGCAGGAGCGCTTTTCCGAAAGGAGTTGTTGTATGCCAAGGGGTTCATACGTTGATCTCAGAAGTTTTCCTCATTTTTACCATGCGGTTCCGGGAATGCCAAAGGGGTGAACATTGGGTTGATGATTCCAGTGTAGACTGTGGCAAAATTTTGCATTTCTATATTTTTTATTCCCTTGTGTCCATCTTCACCTCTTTCCTTCCTTGCAGAATGAAAGAAAAGTGAGACTGAGTGAGCAGAGTCGTGTCAAAAACATCCGAGCCTTGCATCCAGATAAGGAACGCGATTTCTAACACTGAACATCACAAATTCCCGAATGGTCCAACTGAACGCCTTTCGGAGATCTAATCGGCGACAGATGTCGAAATGAGATTACGTTCATTACTTGTATCTGTAGAAGAAGTTTCAGCGGAAACATTCTCCAGCGATTTTCGGAGCGCTCTGGAGCCGATCGGATTTTGACCTTGACTCCGCACACATGGGCATGCCTCCGCCTTTAGTGTGTTTTTTATCCCATTCGATCACCTCTCGCTGAACTTAATCCACTTTTAGGTTGCTTTGGAACCGAATAATTTTATGTATCAAGTGCCTGCTGGGCTTCAGTAGGACGTTCCGCTTGTGTGTGTGTGTGTGTGTGTGTGTGTGTGTGTGTGTGTGTGTGTGTGTGTGTGTGTGTGTGTGTGTGTGTGTGTGTGTGTGTGTGTGTGTGTGTGTGTGTGTGTGTGTGTGTGTGTGTGTGTGTGTGTGTGTGTGTGTGTGTGTGTGTGTGTGTGTGTGTGTGTGTGTGTGTGTGTGTGTGTGTGTGTGTGTGTGTGTGTGTGTGTGTGTGTGTGTGTGTGTGTGTGTGTGTGTGTGTGTGTGTGTGTGTGTGTGTGTGTGTGTGTGTGTGTGTGTGTGTGTGTGTGTGTGTGTGTGTGTGTGTGTGTGTGTGTGTGTGTGTGTGTGTGTGTGTGTGTGTGTGTGTGTGTGTGTGTGTGTGTGTGTGTGTGTGTGTGTGTGTGTGTGTGTGTGTGTGTGTGTGTGTGTGTGTGTGTGTGTGTGTGTGTGTGTGTGTGTGTGTGTGTGTGTGTGTGTGTGTGTGTGTGTGTGTGTGTGTGTTGTGGTGTGTGTG